AAATAATGATAATCTGTGTGTGTTACCGTTGCCCACATTCAAAAGGATGACTATTATTAATAAAACTAAAAGCACATGCCACAGAATTAGTAAGCACATGTCTCAGCTACAAAGGTAATTCAATCAGGAGGCAGTTGAGTGAAAACACAGGAGAACAATCTAAGACAAATTCAGTTTTCACTGGCATCCATACCCTTATAAAAAAGGAGTGCATGGGCATTGACTGTTGTGTGCTGTCAAGGTGAAACTAACTTACAGGAACCCTAATAGGGGTTATAAGGTAAGTGAGATATTTAAGAAGTGATTTTACTGTTTCCACACCCCCAAGTCAGTTTCCATGGCTGAGTGGGGATTTGAACCCTGTTCTCCAGAGTCTTAGTTCATCACTCTATTTACAATACACATCTGGGTGTTGACTCAGTATAAAATATATGTTACAGTTCTAGCAGCAATGGTGGTAAATATGAGATTCACAAGTTTAGGCATGTATTTCATTCATGTCACCCCCCCTTGGGATAAATATCCAAGAAAAAGAATAGGCATAGGTATCTAACTTGTACCAGATAACCCAAATTAGAAATTTGGCAACTCAGTTATATAAAATACTGGGCTCAAGAAGACCACTAATAAGAGGGAAACAGGGTTAATTTCAGCAATTTATAAAAGCATTATAGACAAACAACTTGGAGACAACATGTGATCAAAGATAGTCTGGGAGACAAATTTAAAAACTGGGATATTAGAAAACACATGGAAAAGAATATGAACCTCTCAACCTTATAAATCAGTATCATCTCAAGCTAAAAAAAACAGTGTATGAAGTAGTGCACAGATGGCACTTATACCCTGTAAAATTAAACAGAATAAATAAAACAATAAATCAGACATGCGTTGGAGGAAGTGCATGAATAAAGGAACTTTGGAACATACAGTATGTGGTTAACAAGCCCAGGAGTGGAAATATTCTTGTCTGGGGTAAATAAGTGGTTGGAAAATATAACAAAAGAAAAATAATCTCAAATGAAACTTTGCTACTTTTTTCATTATTTACAGGACAGAATGAAAACATTGTGAATAAAGAACTAATTGTGATTATATTAGGAGGAGCCCATAATGACATTGCCCAACACTGGAAGGATGCTCAGGACTTGTCCTTGCAAAGATTTCAGAATAGAATATGGAGACTGGCTCTAATGGAAAAACTGGCCTATTGCTTTAAAGTCTATAGAGGTGAAATAAAACAAAATAAATTTATGGAAGTATGGTATCCCTTGTTGGCCTTTGGTGCAGGAGAATGGGAAATGGGCTAAAATGCTGGCTAGATTGAATAACTAAAGGAATAGAAGTAAAATATATATACAGTAAATGTTGAAACATTATTAGTATACTATATAGATAAGAATACTATTGGAAGTGTAACTGTATTCACAGGTAATTACTGTATTATTCTTTTCTTTTTTGTTATGTAATTGGAGGATTGTAACTTATTTTTTAAATCACAAAATATTTTTTTTTAAAAAAAGAATAGGCATAGGGGTACATTTTAACTGTATGATTCACCAGGATCCCTCAGCCAGCTTACCTGGGGCCCAGCATGTGTCCAGGCCTTGCCAGAGTCCAAAGGAGCTTGGTGGCCAGCTCAGGGACTGAGAGCAAACCCACATAGAGGAGCTGATTGGGAAATCCAACTAGATGGGTAGGAGGCATTTGTGCTAATCAGGAGCTGGCTGAGGAACACTGAATAAGCTTGCTTGACAGACCAGAAGGAGATACAGTCATGCCTCACTTTACGATTGCCCTGTATAACAACGAATCCGCTTAATGATGCTTCCTATGGGCAAAATCCACTGTGCTTCGGGAACCAATTTTTCGCATTATGACGATCAGCGAACAGCTGATCGTCGGGGTCCAAAATGGCCGCTGGCTGAAGAAAATGGCCCTCTGCTCTTTTCTAGGATGGATTCCTCGCTAGACAGGCAGCGAAAATGGCTGCCATATGGAGGATCTTCGCTGGACGGTGAGTTTTTAGCCCATTGGAATGCATTAATCGGATTTTAATGCGTTTCAATGGGTTTTTTATTTTCGCTTTACGATGTTTTCGCTCTACAGCGATTTCGCTGGAACAAATTAACATCGTTAAGCGAGGCACCACTGTAGTCTTCACTCTGGTCCATCAGAGGCATATTTAAGGAGCTCCTCAGCTCCTCTCCGATCAGTCTTCTTCAATACTTTGCCCACTCTCCATCATCTTATTGTCAGGTAGAGTTTGTACTTAACTGAATTCTTCTTAGGAAGTTATAAGTAGGAGTGGATCTTGTATTATAATGTATGTAAACTTTATTACAGCCTCTTGGTTGCAGAAGAGGGTAGATCTGTACTTAGGAATGGTTAGTCAGTGAGGGAGATGGGTATTCAGTCCCATCTCAGGCTTAGGACATCCCCTACATGGATCAGAGAGTTGTGAGGAGGCTGACAGGGACTAAGCCTGCCTTAGGTGGGCTGCTACAGCCATCCCTGTTACAATGTATACTGAGGAGTTCCCTAGTGGTCACAGGCCCAGAGTGTAGTAAAAGTGCACACTGGCTGGCAGAAGGGGCAGATGACTGAAGGAACTACTCATATTGCACCAAACCTGTTCTGCAACCAATCAAAGCTGTGGCCCTTCATTTACCCACTATCTCTCTTTCAGTAAAATCTTTAAATGCTAATGGTTGTGTTTATTGGCAGCAGTGAGGCCCTCTTGCCTGGGTCCGCCACCTACATTCTCAAATTGGTATTATTCTCCTTCCTCTCAGGCCACCTTTACCCCCATCTTTCCTCTCAAATTTGCACACAACCAAGTCACTAAAAAGAACTAAAAGTTTGTATCCTTTGCATTGTTTTTCCCAACCTTCTACAGTATTTCAAACTATGAAAAATCTTAATCAGTCACAGAATAAAAAGGAAGGCTACCTAAGCCAGTTGTTTTCCAAAACGTCCTACCCTCAGGGAACCTCTTCCAGAGCTATTCATCTGCCAGTGTTGGGCATTTGCCATGGTGGGCACAGACTTGCTATGGACTGCAAAGAATCCTGGCAATGCACCCTCGGCTCATTCTGGGTTCTGTGCCAAGGTAGCTGTAATCCTATGGAAACAGAATTGCACCTTTGATTCTCCTGCAGCTGCTTGTTGCTGGGAAGACTGGTCATCAATATGCTGTCTTTTGAATAACAGCTTTGGAAGAAAGGGTTTCCAACTCTGTCTTTTCTCAAAACTCAGTGTCATAGCAATTGTGTTGCTTTGTTTCATCACTAAAAACTGGTTAAGAGAGACACTTGTACCTCCCAGGATTGCACTCAGGAGGAATGTTTGCCAATCACCATTTATGCCAGGCTTCAAAGGTAATAGTGGTAATGCCGGCCTCAATTCTAGGCATCCATACATGTAGTCAGGCAAAGAACAAACACTTAAGTACAGATGTTTTGAGAGTTTTTACCCTGGCAAACAGGCAAGATAGCATTACATGGAAAGTACTTGTTATCCAACTGGGCAGCCAACTTTGGTTTAAAAAAACACAACAGAACATGTCCACTGTGTTCATATTTCTCCCCATGAATGCGGCTATTCAGGACTGCGGTTCACATTCTGAGTTAGCTTTTTTCAGACAGCTACATTCCCACCAGCAGCCGCATCGGCTTCTAAACCATATCTAAGTGAATTACTCTTACAAAAGCCATTTTCTAAGCTTGCATTTAGGAATATGCATAGGTACATAAACTATAGTACTGTATTTAAAATATTACTAAAACTAGGTGACTAAACCAGTGTAAACAAACTGAAATCAAAGAAATTTAAGCTAGACATCCTCCAAACGACACTAAGTCAAAATCCAAACCCACCTAAATAATTTCAAGTTCTTGCTATTAAGAACCACCATTATCTGAACAGTGAGTTCCTGCACCTGAATATTATGAAGGAATAGAGAAACAGGGATGAAATATAGGACTATCTGGACAAAATCCAATTGCTACCATAGTGGTTAAACCTTTGGTGCAGCATTTGAAATCAGTGTAGACATTATCCATTGCATATGAAGTTACGCGAATCAGCACACTTTTGGTGCAGCATTTGAAATCAGTTGCATATGAAGTTACGCGAATCAGCACACAACAAATAGTGAGCATAAGCCTGTTCCATAGAGCCATAAAGTAAATTATACTTGCGTTAATGTGCTGAGCATTATGCCCGGCAACAAGAAATTGTGCAATTGCCCATGCATCCCCATCACACCAAGTGGTAAAAAAGGGTTGCCAGCACCCGGGGCAAGTATTGTGGGGCACGGGTCATGTGCCAGCTCTGTGATGCAATGTGTGGGCAGAGTAGTGTGGGGCATGGGGTGCAAGGCGGGAGAAGCCACTGGGGTGGTACCATGAAGTGGCCATGGAGCTGTTCAAAATATGTGTTGGTGGCAGCAGTGGGCCCAGCACCCCCAGTAGGTTGGACTCGGACTGCTGGCAAGGGGAAGAGGAGCATGAGGAGTGGCTGCAGGAGTACCTTGGGCAGGACGCTCTGCATGCCCCTAAGAATGTTGAGCCCAGGATGGTCACCCTTGTAGCCCCACCCCATGCTATGCCACTGGTCACACCCAACTGTGCAATGTGCCGGCAGTAGTGCTTCACAGATTATCACTCCCGCCATGATGCTACTGGAGCTATTGAAGGCATTAACATACACTGACTTCATAACTTGAAGCAATTCACTACCAAAGGTTACCTTTTTTTTTTACTTTGCTGGCAAAAAGATTTTGACATCTGCATCTTAAATCTATGTCTCTTTCTTGCAACCGAAAGGAAAGGAAAACAGGGGGGGGGGGAAGAAAGAAAAGACATAACTTCAACTGAGTAAACTTTTTTACATAATAGTTTTCAAAAAAACTGAAATCAAACCAGAAATGCCACCAGTACTGCCAGGAATAATGTACAGTAACACTTCAGAAACCATGAGCTAATGCTAACTCTCACCATCTGAATGGGTTTCTTGTGCAGGTCTCTCTCCGTTACCAACTTCTCTTGGTCAGTCACATAGAGGCCTTTTTGTGCCAAAGCTTGGATAACGGCATCATGGCCCAGGAGCGGTTTGGCCGCATCACTCTTCAGAATAAGACTCCCAGCACGACAGTAGAGTTCAGCAGAAAGCAGCAAATTAACAACAGGAGGTTTAATATGTTCCTGGTCATACTGATCTGTATAAAATGGTTCCCGAAGCTCTTCTGGTACATTTTCTACAGAAGTGGGGAGGAAAAAAACAAACACAGTGAATTAAAAAGGAGAGTCTACTTTCCAGGACAAGTACCAAAGAATAAAGAGTTTTAAATAACTATAAGACATTAAAATACTACTACAGTAATCATGCTGTTGGAAGCACAGCTTCCTAAATTGTGTCATTTTCAAGAAGGCAAACTTTAAAATTACAAGAGTAGTTGTCACACAAGGTCTAACCTAGCCTGGGGGGGGGGCATTAGTTTCATTTGTGCATTAGCTGATAAATCTGCAGCAGATGGCACCCTTAAAATTGAATGGATGACAACTCAGCTATTTTGCACACAACTGCAAGCTGGTTTTTAGGTCATTTTGTGTTGGTGTGCAAAATGTAGCCATTGTTTTCAGATGTAGTTGCCATATAAACCTCTTCACTTTATTAAGGAGAATATTGTACAAAAGCCTTCTCCAACATGGTACCCACTAAAACTCTCATTACCTCTTGCCAGCATGGCCACTGCTCACTGCTGTTTATGCGTGTGTGTTGGGAGGGTTGCACTCCAACATGTTTAGAATATATTGTAATTAGTTTTAAGAAGCACATTACAATCAAGCACATTTCCCCTGCTCTTTAAGACTGAGAGCTAAAGATTTTACCTTACTTCTTACACAGACGATAAACCAGAGTCTGGGTTATATAGCCTCAGACTGCAGGTGAGGTTTCATAGGATTCGGTATTATCCAACACTATCTATGGAAGCTCAAATATCTGCAATGGCAACAATGCCTTTTATCAACTCTGGTTGACTGCCCAGTTGTGTCCCGACCTGGATAAGAAATGCCTAACAACAGGGGGGTCACACATTAGTAATCTCAAAATAGATTACTGTAATGCTCTCTACACAGGGCTGCCCTTGAAAACAGTATGGAAACTACAGCAGGCCCAAAATGTAGCAGCCAGTCTGATTTCTGGGACTAGTAAATTTGACTATATATCTCCAGTCTTGGCTTGTCTTCACTGGCTCTCTATTTGTAGGGCACAAGGGGCTCTTCTTCCCTCATCAATGTGCCTCTCTCCCAAAGCTCATTCATCCCAGACAGAAGTGCATTTTATTTTGGTGAAGCATATACAGTAGTTGCACTCCTCAGTAACAACCTCCAAACATACTTGGATATTTTTGACCAAACATAGCTGCGTCAGTACTAAAAGATGTTCATAAAATAGCTGTGGGACATGTTTTAAGGAAGCTCCTATACTCCTTGCAGGCTACAATTAAATTTAGCCTCCTTTCAGGTTACAATAATGTGGTAGAACTGCTTAAACTTGTACATGAAGCAGAATTCCACACTTAACAGTGTGCATTTGATTGAAATCATAATTCAAATGATTCCTCAGGAAGATCTATTTAAACATGTAAATCCATCGCCTCCAGAAGTGTACATTTGCTTCCTACAGTCTTGATACATAGTTTTCACAATCTCCTTATCTAGATAAAAATCAACCACATTTCTTCCTATAGTCATCTTTTTTCTGTAGTCATCTCACTAACCCAAAATACATCTGAACTTAAGTTGGAACCATAAAATATGCCTCCCCTCAACAAAATAATTGTGTCAAGTTTTTATGGTTTTCTCCCATGAAGGTGAAATTTTAACTGCTTTGGAGAAACAAGACAGACCCACCTTCCACTATCAAATAATAAAACAATAAACAATGAAGTTTAAAGCCTTTTAAAATTATTATCTTCTGTGTCCTGTTCCACCATACCTGTTAGATTTTCTGAGTAAACTTGCAATTCCATATTCTAAAAGTAATTCCATTTCTGCAGACTAAGTTGCTGCAATCCAAGGATTTGGCTGATTATGAATGTGCGAAAGTATTAATGAGCTAAAAGACCTACAAATGCTCCTTCCACAAAAAAGAGGGGATCAATTAGCTCAAAATTATTGCAGCTTACTTTCACTAATACCCAAGATAATTTTTTTAAAAGTACTAATGCAATATAAAATAAAAGCTAGAAGCCACCCAAAATAACTACACATTTACACCAAGAGCTAAGAGCCCTGTGAGGTACTTCAGATGTCAGAGAGTGAACAGACCAATATTACTCAGTGGGTTTCAAGGGCAAGTGGGTACATGAATATGGGTCTCTCAGGTCTCAGCTCAACATACAACACTATGCTGGCTCTCATCCTGGCCCGGGCATACCTCTAAACAATAATAAGGTACTTATGCCATCCCTGGCATTGGTAAACTGGGGCTCACATACAGTAGTGTCTCGACTTATGACCTTAATCCATTCCGGAATGACGGTTGTAACGCGAAATGGTCATAAGTCGAAGCACGCGAAATGGTCATAAGTCAAAGCACCATTGGAACGTGATTAATCTGTTCCGGCAGGGAAAAATATTACGAAAGGGAAAAAAAACCAAAAAAACACTCATCAGGAACACGTCAGGGCTGGGGGGAAAAGCACATACACACACAAAAAAGCAAGCCCTATTGGAACGAGTCGGGGCCAGGAAAAAAAATCACAAAAAACCCCACACAAAAACAAACAGAGCAAGCCCCATCGGAAGGTGCTGGGGCCAAAAAACAAACACACACACACACACACACACACACACACAAAAAGAGCAAGGCCTATCGGAACGTGCTGGGGCTGAAAAAAGATCACAAAAAAGAAACACAAAACAACAACACAGCAAGCCCCATTGGAAAGCACTGGGGGCAATAACAACAACAACAACAACAACCACACCAAAAAACATCACAGTACAGAAACATACCCCTCCCAGCCCAAATCCACCCTGCAAAACCCTGTAAATGTGCTTACTCAGAAGCAGAAAGCAGCACCAGGCAGTCTCAAGCCTCCTTTAACCATTGGGGTGAGACAGCTACAAAGAAGCAGCCTCTTTGCTGACCAGTGGTTAGTACATTTGAATTCCCCGCCTTTTCCCCCACCTTTTTTCCTGTCATAACTTGAAGCTCCGGTCGCAAGTCGAATTTTGCAGCCAGAGCTGGTTGTTACTCAAAATGGTCGTAAGTCAGGACGGTTGTAAGTCGAGGCACCACTGTACTCATTGACATTGTTAGAGACTTATGATATGCTAATTACTCTACTGAATCGAATTATAGCTCTTTGGTGATTACTTTTTTTGCACACACTACGACAATGTATTTCCTTTATTTTTTTCTGAATCTACAGCCCCTGATTATTTCCGATGACCCTAAAGTCTTAGTCCTCAAGACAAAACTATTTTCCTCTCTTTTGCTCCCTCCATGCTATATGAAAGAACTAATAAAATATTCTCTATCTCCCTCTCTCTATCTCATCTTTTTTTCTGAATCAAGTTCCCAACCTCATTCACTTTTCTTTGTAAGAAAGATGCTTCAAGTCTTTGATAATTTCTGTCACTCTGTCAGATTTACATTATCACTTTTTAAGCTAAGAGCACCTGAAAAGCATTTTGTGATTTAGCACTAATGAAGAAATAATCCAACAATCCAATGTACTAAGCAACTCTGAGATAGCACCAGTAAGAGGGATTCATTATACTTGTGGACACCAGATATAGGATGGTATAATATGAATCGTGATTTAAAGCATAATTTAAATCATTGTTTAGATCACTATTAAAAAATAAAATTAATCATGTGATTTTTTTTCTCCCTGAAAGTGTAGCCTTACTTGTTAATTATCTTAATAGTTTTCATATTTCACATTTTCTGCATTATACAATTTAATCCTCTATTCGTTGTCAGTAGCAGTGTCCAAATGTGTACATAGAGAGAACTTAGTTTTGTCTATTTTCAAATGACAAAACAACAGTAATAAAAGCACTGCGCAGTCACTCAGTCCTGCCCTTCTCAATTCCTTTGTTCCTCTTTCTATCAGCTGTCTCTGCCTCTCTCTCCGTCCTCTTCTTCCGTTCCATTCCCACAATTTTTCCCTGAGTCCCTTCAACTGTTAGCTTTTGTATTCCTCCTTCTATCTCCTCTGTTTCTGCCCCTTGCTGCTCTGTTCTTTTGGGGGATGAGACAGGCTGGGTTTTTACCTCCTTTTCTGCGGTATGGAGGAGGGACGGCACTCTGGCGAGAGGGATACCACTCTTGCCTTCTGTTTCACAAGCTGTTTCTTTGTTGTGGTGTACTTAATTCCTTATTTCATTCTTTAACAAAGAATCTGTTTTCTGTTTAGTTGTTGTAAACTGCCCAGATCGGCCTTGGCTGCCAGATGGGCAGTATATAAATCAATTAATAAAATAAATAAACACATTAACAGCTTTGCAGAAGAAAGGTGTCCTGTGTTTTTCCGTGGTTTTCCACAAACATCACTCACAGACAAACTGTCTCTACAAATGGGATGATTTTACAGCTGTTTATTGTTTGAATTATTCTTAATTCTCTCAAACAAGAAATTGAAAGCAGGTGCAAACCTGGTTGGCAATTCACACAACACCAATTTGAGCATCTGGAAGCTTTTTCTTGGGCTTGCTGCCACTGTCCCCATCTTCTGGCTCTCTTCTTGGTAAGATCAGTCATGGGAGCAGCTATGGTTGAGAATCGTGGTACAAATTGTCTGTAATACCTGACAAGGCCTTAGTTTGGGGTCTATACCACTGTGTAATCTTAGTGATCTTCCCTTCCTGGGGTTGTATTTCACCCCCGCCTCTAGAAAAGCCTAGGTACTCTACTTTGGGTCGAGCAACACAGGTTTAGAGAGGTTTTCTCCCTCTTCCCATTTCTCTCTGAGTAGGTCTAGAATGCTTCTAGGATTTCTCCCATATAGCAACTCAAAAGGGGAGAAACCCATTGATGATGGGGGGGCTTCTCTTACTGTGAACATCAGCTGGGCTAGAAACATGTGCCATTGTTTTGGTTTTTCCTGGACCAACTTTCGGAGCATCCCCTTTAGGGTCCCATTGAACCTCTCCACTAAGCCATTTGCTTGTGGATGGTAGATGGATGTTTTCATCGGTTTCACCCCTAATAATTTCCACATCTGTTTAAAGGTTAGGC